AATTCAAGAATCATTTATAGTTGAGTTACATAATCCTCTCGGTTTAGAGTCAAAACTGACCACAAATCTGCTGAAGTACCTCTTGGTTTCTCTTGTTCAATGTGTGGTAGACAGTGATGCAATATTAGTCATAACTGACTAGTGCTCAAGGATGAATTTTAATGCTTAGTGTGAACACATCCTACCCTCCCCAGACCCTACTTGTGGGATTACAATGGGTATGTTGTTGTAGTGCTTGTTTAGCACAAGTTCTTTGTTAGAACCTCGTTGGTTTAAACTCACAATTTAATCTAGTAATTAGCATTTAATCCAATAAAGTATGCTCTTAATGAATATGACTACTTAAAAGAATATCATGTCAGAAAGTTCAGGTCCATCTACCCTTAACAGAATTCTACTCCATATTGGAGTTAAACGAAACCAACTAACCAAGTGAATACTAGAATTTATCATTAATATGAAGAGTAAAGATTTAAGGAAAGATGAACTTGGCTAGAGAATGTTGTCTTGGTCATTTCCTTCTTTCGTCTCTTTTTAGTGAAGCCTATCCTTAGTTGTCTGTCTTCTCAAATTTTAACTCTAAAACCTTCTTTGATATACCTATAAACACACTCTCATGGAGTTTTCAATCAATCAAGGAAATACTTCTCTTCTGGAAAGAGTATAAATCTGAAACTGCCTCTGGGCATTGCTCTGCTGAAAACCAGCACAACTCTGCTGACATGCTGCACCCATCCACGTCCAAATGCTGGCATAGCTGCAGTGAGCCACTGCCCGATTTGTACTATTTTGGCGGTGTATTTGCTTTGGAATCCAACATGGCTGCACTGGTTCACTACTAATTTTGGATGTACCCAAATTATGCTTTATTTCTTCAGTTGGGATCTAGATTTCAAAGCTACAATCCTGTCAAACTTCAAGGTCCAACTCCTCTTGGATTTGTGCATTTTCGATTTTGAAGTTGAATCGTAAGATGACCTCTTGATAGCATATTTTTATTCCAAATTGTGCTTTATTTGTTCGGTTGGGATCTTGAAGAGCTACAATCCCCTCAAACTTCAAGGTCCAACGCTTCTTGGATTATGCATTTTCTATTCTGAAGTTGAATCATACAATGACCTCTTGATAGCATTTTATTACATAAATCATCATTCTCCTTTTGTACAAAGATTAAGAAAAAAGAAATTGTTCAAGACTAGAAAAACTTTGTGAAACTGGTGAAGGAAAAAAAAACATGAAAGGATAATACTACTCCTGTCCCATTTTGTTTGACCTAGTTATTACGTAGACATTTTGCGTAAGAGTTAGATATTAGTATTGTTCTTTTCATTGTTAAATTAGATATAAGTAGTGCTTTTCACATAAAATATGAGATACAGAACAAATGCTCGACGGTATATGCAAAATAGGCCATGTCAAATCATTAACCAATTATATGAGTATGCTTCAATCACAAATCTGTTAGAGTCGGCTACGATAGAAGTGAAATCAGTTGATGAGCGATTAACACTTCCTTAAATTCATGTATCTTATCAATCAAGTGTGGTCGTATTAGTCTAAACTATTCATTCCAATTTCTTTTCTGCTTTTTGTCCATGTTGATGATAAAGGTGATGTTTAGTTTTGTAATTGATTTATTCAACATCTCAAGGAACAGATGTTCAAATAGTAATATATTTAGCATAGTTGCCTTAGGTTCTAAACCGAACTGCATGCAGCATCCAACTCCTAACAATTTTGAAACATTTTGCACATAAATTTGGCTTCAGTTGTGATTGACTTAGAGAAAGTGATATGGGAACCGACATCAACAAGTGGTCATTTTGCTTCACCAATACTCCCTCAGTCCCAATATAATGTCTTAGTTTGATTGGGCATGGAGTTTAAGAAATAAAGGAAGGCTTTTGAATCTTATGGTCTTTAATTAAATGTGTATAGTCCTTTAAATCTTGTGGTCTTAAACTTGTCATGTAGAATGTTGGAATTTGAAAACTTATTAAATATAGAAAGAGACACGCTTTTTGAGGCAGATTAAAAAGGGAAGTAAGAAGCTTCAATTGGGACGGAGGGGGTAGTTGATATGCCGATCTGGTCTAAATCAGTTGATTGTTTTGCAGGGTTTAAACTATGTTGCAGCATTATTATTGCTGGTGATGAAAACCGAAGAAGAGGCTTTCTGGATGATTGCTGTCCTTCTAGAGAATGTGTTAGTCACCGACTGTTATAATAAGAACTTATCTGGATGTCATGTTGAACAAAGAGTGTTCAAGGATCTATTAACCAAAAAATGTCCGAGGTACTTATAATCTCTTCCATAAGTTTGCTCTTGGCGTGAATGTAGATTCTTTACAAGTTCTGTTGTTTTCTGATACTGATGAGGAAACGTACAGGATAGCTGCTCATTTGGAGGCACTGGAGTTCGATGTTTCTCTTGTTTGCACCGAATGGTTTCTCTGCCTTTTCGCCAAAAGCTTGCCTTCTGAGGTCAACAAATTTAGTCTCTTTATCCTCTCTGTGTGGGTCTGAGTTGCTATGAAATAGAACATGCACTATATGTTCTCATATGAAAACACCAGTGTAATATTGTTTAATGATTCTTCCATTGGTTACTTCATTACAGACAACCTTGCGGGTCTGGGATGTCCTTTTCAATGAAGGTGCAAATCTTCTATTTCATGTGGCATTGGCAATTTTTAAGGTAGATTCTTCCTAATATAAGGACTTATGATAACTTCTTCCATTATTTTTCTTGCCTTTCGAGTTCTTCATTTGCTTAGAACTGAAATTCTAAATGCTAAGACTTATCCTACGATATGCCAATGACTAGATGAACGAAGAAGAGGTGCTGACGGTGCATCATGTTGGGGATGTAATTCATATAATCCAGAGATGCACACATCAACTTTTTGATCCTGATGACTTGTTGACGGTAATATGTTCTCGCTAGACTCCTGTTCTGTTTATTCTCATATCTTCATGTACCTATTTAACGATTAAGCCAGAAATGTAATGCCTTTTTCCAATAGAGTGTAGTGTTATAATTAGCGGAGCCAGAATTTGAAGTTTATGAGTTGTGAACTTGCCACCAAACCCATAGCTCATCTTAGATACTGGGTTCAGTGTTCACATTAAGTATTTATACACATTTAATGAATTTTTATAGATACAAATACAAGGTCTTAGCAAAAGGTACTCTGTTCTTCTTTAAATCTATTCTAATACAAATACAAGGTCTAAAATTGAATTTTCTGATACAAATACAAGGTCTAAGACCACTATTTTACACGAGTCGTTTTAACCCCGAAAATGAACCATATTCTTGACAAAAAAAAATTCAGGTTGCTTTTGATCAAATTGGTTTTATGACAACCACTACTATATCAAGACAGAGGAAAAAGCAGGAACCGGCGGTCATGGCAGAGCTTGACCAGAGACTAAGGCGGTTAAATTCCATAAACGCGAGTGACGAACAATAGTTTTGTGATGGAAACCTTATAATTGTAGTATATATATATACATGTTGTATCTCTATCAGGGCATGCTGCCCTTATAGGACATCACAGCCCTTATGCTCATAAAGCAATGAGCTAAACAACAGCTTGGAGAGTCCTCTTGTGTTTATTTATGTTTGTAGATCTTCAAAAGTGTAAATTTTGAACTGTTGTATACTAGTCCTATATTCTTTCCCCTTGTTAACTTATCCAGTTTTGCATACTTTCAAGAATGGAATTATGGTAGATTGTGCTACTGGTACAATGTCACTAAGTACTTAAATTTTGGCTCCTTGAGAAAGATCATATTCATAAAAAATAATATGAGAAGCATAAAGCACCATTTCTTTGAGAATGCACATGTAGACACCTCTGAGAGCAGTGTCCGCTCTCCCTTGTAGGGGAGTTGGACGGTCATTCTGCCCTTCGAGACTTTTTTAGTTCTTTTTTGGTATAAATATATAAACATATACTTAAATTTGGCCTTAGCTAGCAATTAAGCATTCTGACTTTTGAGAGTGCATATGTAGATTCCTCAACCTAGTCTCAATTGTCAAGTAAACACTTTAATTCATTCAACTATGTATCATGAATATGATGTGGCACATAAATTTTGGTGGTTTTTAGATGGTCTATTTGTAAGTTGAAGTGTTCAACTAACATAATGGAGATGAGTTGAAGTGTCTAAATGTGTATATTCAAAGTTGGAGTAGTTACTTGCTAGTTGAGGCAATATTACAGTTTTAATATGGCACAGCAAATACAGAACAGAGTGAACTTGACCCATTTTGCTGCCTATTACCAAACACAAAAAAAAATGAAATTGGAGAACAAGAGGTATTTATTCCATTATATTGCAGTGTGAACCACTGAAACTGGCTCACGGGAACAAAGTAGTTGTATATTAAAGATGTACAATTACTTGCCTTCACTTTTCACAGCTTTCAACCTCACTAGGTTTGTGTAGTATAGAATGCATTTAAGTAAAATGGCAGCCCAGTGCACTAAACTCTCACTATGTTCCGGAGAAAGGCTGGACCACAGTCCACAAGGGTCTATTACACACAACCTTACCCTACTTTTCTGCACGAGGCTGTTTCCGCGGCTCAAACTCATTGAGTAACTGATGATAACAGGGTTCAAAGTTTTGTTCATCACCTTACGTCAAGACTCCCCTTCAAAAGAATGCTTTGAGTAACTACTGCGCTCTCTGTAACTATCATGAGTTGTGGTGGGACGGAAAGAATCCCTCGACCCTTTACCAGAAAACCACAAATAAGGTAGAGAGGGAGCTCTCCCCCTCCTTAATAGGCCTTTTACGCAGGCAGAATCTGAATTAGTCAGACAAGTGACCGGATACAAGATGGTTACTAGAAAATAAGAAGAAAAAAAAGAAGAGGAACTGCCCTATTAACCAACTTCACTTGACATGTCCTCTTGAAAGCAAAACTGAGGACAAAATCAGAAAGAAATCTTGGAATTTTTTTTTGTATATATATATTTTTTCTTCAAATTCTATCTTTCTTCTTGCACCCCCTTTTCCACTTCAGAAGTTGTGGAAGCAATGTCACCATCAGAGGCTGCTGCTGGAGATGCATCCAAACCGGCGTTTTCTGCAGTGTTGGACTCTGAATCTTCAGTCTTTGTTTGCAAGCTCCAGTACATGATGCTAGCTGTGAGTGTCAGCATCATCTTCTGGTTCACCTGAGTGGTAAAAGTTGATTTATATTCAAGAAAAAGGGTTGATGGAAAGAAGCAATGGTTCTGCTATTACATGGAACTAATAGAAATGCTCGACTACAGTCGAGTTTTTAGCTGCATCAACGAGCTCCTAAGTCCATTCAAAGACTTGCAAACATATCTTTCTTGATATGAAATGCTAGTTCTTCAACAACAACAAATCCAGTGTAATCCCACTAGTGGTGTCTGAGGAGGGCAGAGTGTACGTAGACCTTACCCCTACCTTGAGAAGGTAGAGAGGTTATTTCCTATAGATCCTCAGCTCAAAGACTCTATTCAGCTTATCAAACAGCCCCTAGTTAGGAATATAAACTCTGTATTATACTGCATCTATAAAAAGTTATCACATCCGGTCTGAAGGCAAGCATAAGCGCGCAGTTTCTTCAATCTAATCTCTTACCTCTATTATATCCTCTGGCAATAAAAAGATGGAGCACCCGAGTTTACGTGCTACACTGATTGTATAAGTTGCATTAAGCTTCTTATCCTCATCTGCAATGTATTCAGAGATAGCAGTACTTTCTTGAAAGCCAAAGCAAAAGATAATTGTTCAGACTTTTCTTAAAGACATAATACATAAACAGACACTCACACTTAGCCTCAATTGGCGAGTAATCACTCTAACTTTTTGAGTGCATATCTAGACACCTCAAATTGATCTCAACTAACCACTAAACAGTCCAACTTGTCTGCACTGTGTCTCGTGGACACCCGATGCTGATATTAGTGTTCAAATGAGTTGAGGTGTCTAGATATGCATACGCAAAGTTGGAGTGTTTACTTGTCAGCTGAGGCCAAGTTTGCGTCTGTTTATGTATTATGCCTTTCTTAACTCATCCCAAAAAAGATAAGGAAATCTTTGCTTCTCAGTTTTTCAAAAAGACATAATCATTTTTACTGGGGTGGGTTCAAGAGTCTACGAACTCTTCGCGTACCAGTTTTACCCCTGGTCACAAGGCTCCAATTGACAACCCTTGGTTCCACAGCGCTTAGAAGCTCGAGAAAGAATTTCCCACTCGATATATTTTTGTCCTAACAAAACAATATAACTCAGGTGTCATGCAATAGAAACTGATGATAACAGGGTTCAAAGTTTTGTTCATCACCTTAAAGCTTTCAATTTGAGATTTTCTCCCTGCACTCTTCACTTTACTGTTTGCCCAATTTAGTATGTCAGCATCTGTTATCTCCTTTCCAAGGGCATGAAATTTCAAGTTTATCAACAGTTGGAGCATTGAAAACCTCATTAACTGCCACAAAAAAGCTGCAAGACAACAAAATGATTTTAACATTTCAAATCATAAAACTATGCATAACTGAACTTTTGAGGTACATTGTTGTTCCATGCTTATGGTGTAGAGTGTAGACTATCGTCCTTACGAGAAAGAAGAAGTGTTAATTTGCATGTATTCAACAGAAGTTAAGTTTTTATCGGATGCTCATTGTACGTAACACAAACTAACATGTACTAATCAGGCTGAGCATGCTTTCAAGAACAACAACAAACCAAATCAAAACCTGAATATGCAACTAGCTCAAAAAAGTGATTAGATTGCAATTTTGATGTATCCAAAACTCAGTATCAGCACCCTCTCTTTGACCTGTTGTACAGATTGGAACTCAACGTTCTGTGTAATCCATGGGAACATGTGAAATGCGTAAATAAGATAGCTTTGATCAAGCAATAGACCCTCGTCTCAAGAAAAAACAGTCCAAAGCAGTTCAAAAAAAGAAGCAACGGAAGTACAACAAACAACAGATAATAACAAAAAGATAGTAACATAACAGAATTAACATACAAAAGTATGACATAGGGAAATTTACTAATACCTAGTATGAGCTTCTTGTTTCCTTGTACGATATCACTTCCAGCTACATTTACAAGGGAGAAATTCAGTTCTTTCCCAATGCTTATGACTTGGTTGCAATTCTCAACTTTTCGAAATGGCATCTTAATTGGAGGCTTTGTTGCTTGTTTCCAATTAACTAATCCTTGTGAAATTTTGTCTAGTACCTCTAAAAGAACCCACCTGCATAATACGAACGCCAAGCAACATTTGTAGAGTCCAAAGAACATCAATCAAGAAGGCAACAAGAAATAACTCACCCGGTTCTCACGTCCTCAAATAAATTATTCACATAAGTATCAGTTCCAAGACTGTTGATCCACAACCGAAAGCATCTTTCTTCTCGAGAAGTTTGAGCATCATCCTCCATCATCACAGCAAAAGACAATTTTGTGGTATCTGCTGTCAATCCATTCCTATACCAGAGTAAAACTCACTTATAGACGGAGAATGTAGACAAAATAACAACTCTGACTGGTTACTCAAAGATAGAACAATTTTCAGGTTATCGGATGAAATGCTTAATCTAACCTGTTTTGAAATATTTGTGCAACGAATGCAAGATTTAAGTTTGCTGAGCCTTCAATAATGTCCTTTGGAGTTACATATCTTTTGCAATCTAGTTTTTCTGCTTGCTCAAGAATCAAGTTTGCTCTTTCAGTTGGATCTTCTGTATCTAATGTGTTAGTCGTACCATGTTCAGGCGCGAGAGTATTGAGCAAATGAGCATAAGCTTCTCCGTCCTACAAGCAAATATAGAGAACAAAAACAGACACAAAATTCTTCAAAAAATGACATATATCCATAGGGAATTATTGAATTCCTTCAAACGTAATTTTCATAACAACAGACACAAATTTCTTACCTTCAAGTCACTTGAGAAATTTGTAACCTCTTTTTTGTAGCCTGCTTTTTTAAGATGAAAATTCATCCATTTCAGTAAAATCTTTTCTGGAGATAAGCTCATAAGCTCCTCTACTTCCTGCAAATGTTACTGTCTCTACGTAATCTAGCACGATCATTAAAGTGCACACAACTTTTGACAGAAGAACCAAAGAGGTAAAACACGAAAAGTATTGCAAACCTGACTATCTTCCACCAATTCCACAAGTTGTGGAGTTTTTCTCAGATTGAGATCAGATAATAGTTGTATCTGGTTTGCCACGACAACGATAGTAGAAAAGAATTGGTGAAATTCCAAGGTATCTAACAAGCACATGGACAAAGTATAGTAGAAATAGTAAATACCTTGATAATTTGAGAAATCAGCCCGACAACCAGATGAGGCTAAGAGAATAAGCAAAACAAAAGAAACTTCAGTATCTTTCGTATTGATAGTAATATGTTACATATGAAACACATGGACTTCACATACTCTTGCTTCGATTAAATCCTGTGTGCCAATATTGACCACAGTACAACCAATGGCCTTCGCGGAATTGAGGCAAAGGGTGTGGTTCTCATACCTTTCCCATGGATTAAGAACCTTTTTGGTATTGATAGCACGTTCATCTATTGTTCCGGAGACAGCAATATTTATGAGCTTACTGCAACAAATGATCAAGTAGAAACATGAATGTCCAAGAATGTAATCAGAAATGTATGGTTTACACTTACCAAAGAAGAACACCATCTTTGGCAAGATCAAAGAGTTGATTGGTAGATGGATCTATCGGAAGGAAATCCTTCAAAAATGGATCGTCTCTGAGAAAGCTGTTGATGTGAGCTACATATGAGCCCCTTTCAGATTCACTAATGGTGTGTCGGAGTGTGGTTGTAGTTGCCTTGAGGAAAGAGGAGCTGGTCTTTGAATCACCTTTCGCTGTAGCTCGTGCTTGTAGATTTAGATATGCCTAACCAACAAAACACACAACATATGGTAATTTCTCTTCCTCCACCTTTAAACCAAGAAGGATAACCAAGAAGAGATACAGAGGAGTGCATCTTAAGCTCGCGACCCCTACTCAATTCAAAAGACTAATAATCTCTATTTGAAGATCATCGTTAAACTACATCCAAGACTTCCACCTAAGATCCATTTCCACACAAAACTAAAAGACTCGCGATAATGATGTAAGGAAAATGAAAGCTAGCATCTAGGCATACATATCAGAGTAACTTCACGAAACCAGAACTCAAACTAAACATGACATTTCAAGTTTATCTGTTCAACTCTTCTTCAAAGCCAAAGTTGTTCATTCTTTCGAGGCACCAAACGATATTAATAGTAAAAGTTGGAGAAACAAGTATACAATGAAATTATCTCACACTCACCCGAAGGAACGATTCAAAATCAATTTCTTCACTCATGTCAGACGATGATTCGCTCAATATTGCCTTTATATCATCCTCATTTAGTATACCTTGGAAGGCCTTAAGTTTGCACAACACAGGCGGTAGATCTCCCAAAGTGACCTTCCCGGATTGATTCCTTGCAGATAGGAACTGTAACAAATTAAATGTAGCATGTCAAAATGAGAAACAAACTTATATGCCAGTAGAAAATAGGCAAATAACATCAAATGCACCCTAAAGTTGTCCGGATAAGTCGAATACACACTCCAACTAAAAGTGTATAATGTTGTCCGAGATGAGCTTTAATAGAGCGATATGATCAGTGAGGATTCATGTAGCCAACCCTGACTCGTTTGTTAGGAGAAACATTCTTCACATAATACTCTATCAACAAGTCACATTCTCTTTACTCAAGTATATCTTAAATAACAACAACAACAATTTTAGGTAGGCGTAAATTCCATACTAATTAAGGTCAACTATATGAATTATATATCTATAACAATTTCACTAACAATAAGTATCAGGTAACTTTGTCCACCAAGGATAGGACGTATGGAAAGAAATTATCACCTAGTGTTGTTCGTCATTGTTGTGATTTGAACGTTTGAGACCTCGTGGTTCTCAATCCACTCGATTGACCACTAGGCTACACCCTTGGTGCTTGCACTCGTACTCAATTATAACAAGGAAAAGCATAGAAAGGTTAACGTACGTTGGAATTGAGGCCACGCAGCTCGACTTGAGTGAATTGACTCTGTAGCCATTGATCAGAAACAACAACACCAACAAAACTAGACATTTTTTTTCCTTCAAAGATGATTTTTGTAAATCAATCTCTACTTCACTGAGCAGATAACTGGAATTTCATGAAAAAAATACGTCAAACACAGAAATTAAAATAGTAATATGACAATGTAGATTGATATTATTTGATCATTCAATCACAAAAATAAAATAAAAATATGATCTTTGATGAGTAAACAAAAAAATAACTCATGCAATTTTTTCACTAATGATTTCATGAAAACTAAATTAATTGGTGAAGAAATTACGAACCTTTTTTACGTAGATCTCATCGTGCATATTTTTGCAGGGGAGTGGAGTATAGGAGTAATAAAAACAAGGTGAAAAGAAAAGAGTACTGAAATAATTAAAAAATATATATATTTCCAAGCAATTTTGTATTTTTTTTATATTAATAAATTCATTATATATAGAGAGAGAGATTATTATTATTATGCATAGAAGACTAACTTTCACCTCATATTTTTGAAATGTATGTCAATGAATTTTGGACATGTGATTAGACCCTTAGCACAAAGTAAAGTTATAGACCATTGTTGGAGATAATATTGTTATAAAAGATATCATACATTGCAACGTCGTTGACATCGCAATGTATGCAGAACTCTCAAAAAATTTACTCACACTCGGTGTTCAAACCAAACCACATCAATTTACCATGGTCGACAACTATCGATCATTTCAACAGAATGTCCACTTAAAACTTCCCACAAAAGTGTAACCTGGATACATGATCACTTTCCAAGAACACAAACACAGCTTCAAGCACAGTGAATGATATCTAAGATTATAAAATATAGACACCATTTTACAAGAATCTATCAAAGATGACAAAGACAAGCTTACACAACACACTTCTTGAACCAAAATTCTCAAGACAACGATTAGAGTTCATAATAGACAGAAAACAGATGTATGGTATCCTTCCTATGTGTTCTTTTTGTTATCAGAATGTGACACGGTTTGGTCAACTGATTGCAATTGGCTTCGAAGATTCTGATTCTCTTCCAGGATCCGATCGTATTCAAGCAGCAATTTTTCAGATTGACCCTTGAGAGAATCAGAATTTGCTCTCTGAGATTGCACCTCCTTTTCCTTTGCCTCGGTTTCTGATTCCAGCTGCTTCATCTTGTTCCTCAAGGAGGAGATTTCATCCCTTAAGGTACTAGCCTCGCCATTCTTGATGTTGTCCAATGTGCGATCCTGCTTCTTCACAGCCTCCATGGTCTTCCTTAGTAATCGAAGCTCCCTTATGTAATGGTGTAGCCTGTCAATCATCAGTCCGAGGAATAGAGAGAATCCTGCAAGAAATTAAAAGCATTTGAACCCCGTTATGCAGAAATTTGCTTCAAACAGATGATGATTAATCCATGGGATCTGAATTCTACCAGCCATATCTACTTAATTATGCATGTAATAAATGTCAAGGCACTGTGTCATCATTAGATCATATATTCAAAAAGGATAACATATATCACATCTGAAGCATTTAAGGATCTAAAATAAAGGGCACAACTATTTATCCAGAACTGGAAGATCTGTTCCTCATACTCCCTATGGCTGGTGCTTGAGGGCCTTTCGATCTTATGCAAATTTATGGCGGACGGGGGAGCATTTTGCGGTTCAGCAGAGGCCCTAGTGCTAGAATACATCAATGTCTGACCCTACAATCTATGTTACACAAATTTGTTTACAGGTTCACATTGGGTACAAGTATTGGTGGAACCGGTGTGCCACAATTTTGCTAATTCTTGGTCTAATATTGAAGAATCTGCACGAAGTATCCACACCCTCATCTCATCCATTCGACACGGTACGCCAACGCAAAAAAAGAGAGAAGAATCCATGTAACAGAGCCTACAGCTCTAATAACCACAAAATGGCGTCATACAATAAATGCCTTGCAGGGTGAACTGTGAAGGTTAATACTATTCCTAAAGCCATATACCCTGCATGTATGAGCATACAAACAAAAAGGTGAGAACATTTCCAGCACTCAGACTGGGCTGATTTAGTCATGGGCAGAGTGACAGACTGATCATTAGTGCAAGCTATACAGAGAAAATCAGTGAATAACTGTGCATCACTATAACTTTCATCTTTAGGCAACTCTCTACTCAGATGATAAGACTTCCACATATGCGCGGATCCAAACGAAGATGCACCCACGAGATTCCAACTAGAATAGGAGATTGGGCGACTTCTGTAGAAAAATACATCCTTTTGTAAGGTTTCTACTTTTGGTACACTTCTTGTGTACATGTGTTTTTTTAATGCCCTTCATTTATCCGCCTATACTTGCCTGATAACTCCACTAAAGCTAGATATCTGTCCCAACAACCTCGAATATCAAGAGATTACTGGGGATTGGATGCTTGATTCCTTAGCCGAGCTAAAGATTTAGATGTGGAATTTGAGCTAATGGCTTACTTCACTACCTTAAGCCGAGCTAATTACAGGCCAAATATACTGCAATCACGCAGACCTTTCACGAGAGTTCTCCATGTCATGAGCATGCGGCTAGTGTCCATAGCAATCGCTCACAAAAGAGACGCACAAAAAGACAAAAGGGGTGGAGAAAAGGTGGACAACAAGAAAGAGCTGAGAAACAAACATATTAGACTCCGTTAAGAATAGAACTCCCTCCATCTTGTATGCAAATCTCTCCAATATGATATTTTACAGTATTAGGGGGACAAAAACAATACATGTGCCCTAGTTTTTCTCTGTTTTAACCTGTGTAATCAAATCAAAGAGAAAAAAATGGAGGGGGCGGGGTTTACAATAAGCTGCGGGGACTCTTCACTTTCAGTGCCGCATCCGTGTCGGATTCTCCAAAAACACACTACTTTTGGAGAATCTGACACGCACCCATTGACATTTTGAAGAAATCGGGAAGCATGGTTTACACAGTACCGTACCAGCAGTGTGGAAACAATATTTAGACAACTGGTGGTGTCGGAAATATACACTCTTTCATGTTCTATACTATCATATGCCATGCTGGAGAAAAAGATGATTTCAATATCTCTCTAACAATTCCTGCGTCACACCTTGCTTGAAGAAGTGCATTGCATAGCAGCTTCAGAGAATCACCTACTCTTAATTAGGTGAATAAATGAACTTCGCGAGCAGAATCACAAAAAATCTTCAATGGATTCGTCAGCCCTTGGGCTTGATTCTGATCCATTAAACTAGATGTCCTAATGTATTTTTTTTTTCGGCTCCCCTCTTGCTAAATTGTCTCATTAACACTCTCTAAGCCAGCATTCATAAGATCTTCTCCTTAAGGGTCATTTCTCCAATCAGAGAATCTGTATGTTCAGTTTTAGTTGAAGAGAGACACATTCCAGCAACTCTCTACGTTCCCTTGACGAGCTTGATACAGAACATGCCCGTCTTTAAGACGTTCGCATCTAGAGATATATAACTTTTTTCTTTAAGAAATCTCTAAACCAGGTTAATTTTATCAACAGGTGCAAATTACTGGTGGACCCACTACTATTATGCGGCTGATGCAAACTTCAGGGAGGCAGAACGTTTCCATGCGGAAGTCTTAATACAAGAGAGCTTGGAGCCAAAGAATGCTAATTTAGGCCTATGAACTCATGGAAGATTAGCTTGGAATGATGTTTGAAGTAATTAACTTGTTACAGGCTCAAAATTTGAAGAAAAAACAAATGAAGAACAGCTCGCTTAGAGACCCATCGCATCCCAAGTGGATGTTATCCTATCTAATCAAAAGCATTTCATAGTCATCACGAAGAGAAGCTTGAGATGCTAATGTAACCAGCGCAGGTATTTTCACAACTGGAAATTTTTTTAAGCAACAGCAGAACAATTGAGGTGAACACATCACTCCAGATGTGTTCATCTAGTCAATACTTTCTTCGATGTTATAGTCAAGTCTAACGAATCTTCATTACTTGCTTGCATCAATTTGGTATTGAATTCTTACCTGGGTTCTATTATTACTACTTCTCTCATTCTTCTTGAGTTCGGATAATTTAATTGATTACAGCAAAGATTCAAGCCCCTAATGCTTGGGTCTGCATTCTAGATTTTTGATCATCGATACTACATATTCCCCTATCCTTTCTGTTGCTTTAAGCTCCACCCAATCTACATCAGTGGCAGTGAAGTTTAGTATAAACATATACTCCCTCCGTTTCAATCTGTTTGTCCTGTTTTGACTTGGCAAGGAGTTAAAGAAAGTAAAGAATACTTATGAATCTTGAGGTCTTAGATTAAGGATATGTCAAATGTATCAAAATCCTTTAATCTTGTAAACATGCCAAGTGGAAAGTTGGAATCAAAGAGTTGTAAAAAAAAGGAAAGAGACATCCTTTTTGAAACGGACTAAAAAGGAATGTAGGACAAACAAATTGAAACAGAGGGAATATTTCTTTAAAATTGTTCAACTATAGATACAGTTTCAAGTCAACAACAGCGATTCCAGTGACACCTGCTGCCTAAAAATAAAATCCACCCTTGAATTCTTTACCCTTTTGTACTAGAACTTGAATGGAACTTGAGAACAAGTAACCAAAGGGATCACAAACAGAAATTCTGCTAAACACACCCGAATGCTCCAATTAACTAAATCATAGCATCTCTCACTCAATCCTAACTAGTTCACTTTGCTGCTCAAAATAACCATAAAAGGGGAATTCAGAAAACAACCCAAAACATGTTTAAAATGATGCAAAAAGAAACATACCCATGAATTGATCATAAAAGAAATTCTATAAACAACTCAAAATAACCGAAAGAACGCAAATAGAAACATACCCATGAACATACCTAGTGTAGTACCACAAAGTGGAGTCTAGGGAGGGTAAAGTGTATGTGGACCTTACCCCTACATCAGGAGTACAGAGGTTGTTTCCGATATACCCTCGACTTCAGAAAAAAAACAGTCCAAAGCATTCCAAAAGAAGTAAAGGAAGCGAAATCATAACAAAGCCTACTGAGCAGTAACTACAATAAATTTTATGATAATCAAAGAACACGAAATAGACAAAGTAATCAGAAATTGAAGGTAAGAA